CTGCTAACTATGACTAAGATGTTCTCTGATAGAGTTCCGTTATGAACCCGTTGGTACCTTTTTTATCGCTGATCATCGAAGTTCCCAGGTCCTTGAAAGAGGCTTTAATTGAGGTAACCGATATTTTCTTGGTTAAGGAAGTCTGTGTTACGTGTGGAAATGTAGATTACCGAATAATGAAAAATAAACTGTGAAATGCAGTAATCTTGAACACGCGGATATAAGACGGTCGACATTTTACGCGAAATCGACTAGCGTATTTATTGTGATATAAAAGTATAGGAAACAATTACATTTTGCAGTAAAATGTCTTCTTTTATCGATTTAAGAAACTTGATTAAGATTAACCGCTTTGTTTCTAAATAAGCAGAAACTTACTAGGCCAGACATTCAGACATTTGTTTCGTGGTTATCAAGTCTACACCGCTCTCCCAGTTCTGATACGCATGCATATTAATGTTATGTTGAACAGTTCTACCTCCTGAGATAAAAAGCCATGTAGACCGTTGAAAATTAACTGGCGTTTCGGAGGAACATATAGCATACGTCTTCAGTATCGAAGCGGAGGTTGTTACCTGCTTCATATTGGTTTCTTTCTTGGTTTATTCTTCGGTACTAAAGATGGAGGCGACATATTCCTCTGAAATATCTGTTATTTTTCAACATAATAAATGGCGTTATAAGCCAGAAAATGTATTGTGACGTGACGCCTGAAAGCCGGAATAGTAGAGTCAGATGGGAAGTTGATTTCCTAGCCAACGGGTATTAACAGAACACGCTTCCGTGACAAAGGGGTGACAATTGGATTATCACACATGACTTCCGCGACAACACTCGATTAGGCATATAGGTTACTGCGGAACTGGAAGTGTTTCCGTTGCAACCGTGCTTAGGCAGACAGTTATGTCAGATACGAGATACAGAAGTCTTCGAGGCGGTGTGTGCTATCACGGCTACCTAGCAGATACACCCAGAAGTGAACTCACACTGTGCTGGCGAGGACCAGGAGCAGTTGTAAACGGCAGACCCATCCTCTCGTGAGAGAGAGAGCGCCCACGTCAACAATCCTGCAATTGTCTGACAATAATAAGAATCTTATGGTGAGCCCCAGTTGGGTGCTTTATTCCAAGACAGACTGACCGACTGACCGTCGGTCGTAGTACAAGATTCAGACTCGGACAGAGCTCAGACACGGAAGTCAGACACAGAAGACAGCAGAGAACAGAAGAATAAGTCAGACACAGAGGTCAGAAGAAGTCTTTGGTTTATGTGGTGCAGTTACAGCAGCATTTAGAATGTTATCATTGTTCGTAGTTACGAAGTGTCAGAGTTACAGTAAGATTGAAAGTGTCATAATCAATTGTAGTTCCGCCTGGCGAACACCCACTAAATGGACTCACTGAACCAACCCAGCGTCTAAAGTCACCAAAACACGTGACAATAAGGTTCCATAACTACAGCTGTGAGCAGTTTAACTCCTACATGCTCTTATAGTATTTCACATTTATCTAAGAAATAACTGTCTGAGTAAAACCATTCAGCAGAGTCCTTGAAAATCTAACAATTTAATCGGTCGTCAAGAAATTCCGCGCCTTTTACGGAACCCGGAATTTTATTGTCTTATTCTCAAGAATCTTATGGACTAGTGTAGAGAAAGTAGCAAATCTTTGGGACACATGAGCAACCGCTGCATATAAACATGTTTTTTCTTCGCCTATTACCACTGAGAATTCCTGGAAAAGTTTACACGCGTTTCCCTTAAATCGAGAGGCTGATACTTCGTCATCTATTTGTCATGACGTCATCTGGGAGTAGTAACATTGGCACTCGTATCCTCAGGAAACCACGTACGAAAATGTGTTCAGCCTACGTCAGAGCGCTAGTTCACTTAAATAATTTATACTGCATAATGTTGAATTAAATACGATAGGGTGGTAGTGAAAGATGTATTCGAAAGGAAGTCTGTGACCTGTTTGATGATACGATCCTTGCCTGAAGTAGCTGATAGAGACAAAAAGAACCTTAGGGCAATGGGTCCATTGAAGGCCGCGCCATATCTCAAGCTGTTAGTCGCTGGCTTCCCGATCCCGGGTCTGGTCAAGTGGAATTTGTGGTGGATAAAGTGGCGCTGGGGCGGGTTTTCTCCGAGTACTTCGGTTTCCCCTGCCAATCTTCATTCCACCAAATTCTCCATCATCATAATCACCGGGGCAGGTACAATAGGCCAATTAGTGGCCTCCGTGCCGAGTGGACCCAGCTGGACTGCACACCCCACTAAGCGAAGCGAAATTAATGGGTCCATTATCAGATTTGTCCTACTGTCTCCTGATACGCTATCGTTGTGTTAATGCGTTTAGCATCAGCACCAACGTACGAACGTTGATGTATCGTATTTTATGAACTCCCTGTGGGACCAACAAAATTGACCAGAGGGGCAAACCCATATCTCAGGAGCTAGAGAAGAATGGTGCAGACTGTAGCTGTAACATTCTCTGTGTTGGGTCTCAGGTATGACGTAATCCCTTGATTACGTGTATTGCCTTCGTGAATGAATACAGCGAGCGAGATGTAGAGAGATATCATGTTCGGATCACATCGTATGCAATGGCGGTTCAAGATTAAATGTGATATGCATGTGTAACTTGGGGGCACGCGGTAGCGTGGTTGGTTGAGGCACAATGCAACAAGCCGGAAAGTCGCGGGTTCGAGTCCCAGTGAGGTGGATATTTCCAATTTACCTGATCCTTCCTGCCACACTATGCCCTGGGGTCGACTCAGCCTCTAGCAGAAATGAGCACCAGGAATCTCCTTGAGGGTAAAGGGCCCGGCGCGTTAGGCCGTGTCCTGCGTGGGAGCGTAGATCTCCCACTTGCGAGCGTGAACTTCTTCCACATGCGGACAAACACATGTTTGTTTATGTGCTTGAACTCTGTGAGCGCGAGGCGAAGCGGCCGCTTCCAAGAAGTCGCTTCGCCTCGCCTGGCCCAGGAAGCAGCGACCATTCACGTTTGATCGCTGCTTCTATTCGCATTAAGTATTTCACAATGGCAACATAAATTGAAAGTCTGATTTCAGAAGTTTTCAAAAGACCCGTGCGTTGGGACCACAGGAACAAAGCTTATCATAAGAGAGACCTGGTTGATAGGGAATGGGACAAGGTTTCACAGGAAGTAGGAATAACAAGTAGGTATAAACATCAGTTTAATTATTTTATTTTATGCAGTTTACTATGCGCGCGGGTGTATATTGAATATTTTGAATACGTTTACATGATAAGTCAGATAACTTGCACTATACAGCACTTCCTGCAGCCGGAACTGGTCGCTCGCACGCAGGACATACACATCTTTCGCAGTAGCTGCGAATTCAAAGATTATTTCCGCCTGCGCACGCAGGCCTTAGCCTAAGGCTGAGAAAAATCACCGCCATCTGTGAGCCGATTGTCTAGAGAAAATGTGGGAGCTTCGACATCTGAAAACCCTGTTGGCCTTCACGGCCTGTTACAAGACTAACTTCGCCTTTTTTACCTTATACAGGTGTAACTCAGCATTAGGACTTCTTTCACGAATTTATGGTAATCAAATTATCAAGAGAATTGTGGGGATAATCATAAATTTCGCGCGATTGAAACGAAGGTAACAGGTATTCTTAGGGTAATCTGCTCGTAGAAATAAGCAATCACCATAGATGAGTCAGTGTAGCGACGGGCTAGAGGCTGTACTTCCGGGGTTGGATGCTGGCAGGGGCATGATTTTCTTTTCTCCACAGCGTTCAGTCCGGCCCGGAAGTCCACTGAATCCCATACCCAGTGGGTACCGGGGCTCTTTCCCCGGAGGTAAAGAGACCGCTCTATCTAGTGCCGAGGTCAAGTATGGTGTACCTCCACCCCATTTGTCTTCATAGCATACTACATAATTAACTAAGCATACGACTTTTTAAATTTAATCTAAAAACGTGTGAGAAAAAGTTTAATGTCTTGCTACTTGACTAGTATTTGTCCTTCCGGATAATAACTTCGCTTTAGAAGTTAAGGTACTATTACACCATAATTAATTATATAGAAATTTCTTTGAGAAGTTGATATTCCTTTAGATGATTAAGAAAGTCCATTCTTTTAGAGTATTCGAAGCTTCTGAAATCATGTGCTTGCCTGTAATCCACTGTCAGTCGGTATAGTGACAGGCTATGGGATGGGAGTCTGGAGGTCGAGTCGCACCGGGAACGAGAGATTTTTCTCAACTCCACAGCGTCCAGACCGGCTCTGGGGCCCACATAACCTCCTATCCAATGGGCACAAGGAGCTCTTTTGGCGGGGGTAAAGCGACCGGGGCGTGAAGCTCACCACTCACCTTCCCCTAGTGCCGACATCAAGAACAGAGGAGCTATATAGTAATTATATGAGTTGAGGCACGCAGTAGCGTAGTTGGTTGAGGCACTGTGCTACACGCTGGAAAGTCACGGGTTCGATACCCGATGAAGTCGTATTTTTTAATTGACCTAATCCTTCCAGCCGCTTAATGGCCCTGCGGTCGAATCAGGCTCTAACAGAAATGAGTACCAGGAATCTTGCTGGGGGTAAAGAGCTGCCGTTCGGCGCATAAGGCTGATTACCTGACCGTCATCTATGAGCGGATTGTACAGGAAATGTGGGAGTCTCGACACCTCATAACCCTATGGGCCCCCAGGGTCTGTTACAGGGATACCTTTACCTTATTATTACGGCTTAGATGCTGAGTGTTCCAGCCACCACTGCAATTTTACTATAAATTAAGCAGTACTAATTTCGATTACTTATAATAAGTATTTTTTAAGTTTATTTGCATAAAAGATATTATTTTCAAATAGCCGTTGAATTAGTTAATGCGTAAAAATATAAGGCATTGCCTCCAAACAAAGCCAAAACTACTGCTCTCGTCTGATTATGATTTCATTCAGTACCGATGCCAGTGTGAACCTCATGTTTACAAATTAGTACAGCACTTCGCACTTATGCTCTGCAGGTGGCGTGGATCAAGGCGGATACAAAAGCCATTCTTGCTATTCACGAACACGTGATCACCAACAATGCGCGGCTCTCCGTCACACACAACGACTTCAACACGTGGACCCTCAATTTGCGTGGAGTGAAGCGAGAGGACCGGGGTCAGTACATGTGCCAAGTGAACACTGACCCTATGAAGAGCCAGGTGAGTGAGTACACAGAACGTTTCGGAAATAAACAGCAGTTCACCTACTGACTTCGAAACATATATAATGATAATATTGTTAACATTACTTACTCTGAAGTCTTCTTTCACAAGACTGCAATAATTGCATATGAGGAGCTCCATATTTGTTCTCTTTAGCTAATGTTATTGCTGTGATGAAATCGAGGGGGATGAGGTAGGCGGGGTGTATATCTGTCATGTGAGGGAGAGAAGTGGATACAGAATTTTATTTGAAACACCTTAGGAGAACTGGGCGTAATGGGGAGGGAAGTGTTACAATTAATCTTAAAGAAATATGGTAAGTAAATATGGAATGGATTATTCTGGCACAGGATATAGATATTGGCGGGCTGCTGTTGTAATGTATTTTGGGTTTCATAAAATACCAAAATTTCTTGATGAGCTGAGGAATAATCAGCTTATAAGTAAGGGCTATTTACCACGGAGACTACCTGGCCAATATTTTCGTTTTAGTTCGAGGACTGTTAATGAAATCTGACTGAAAAACTTAATAATAAGAATGTTGTATTATCAGGTCCTTATTTTAGGAAGTAATATAATCTCCATCTTAACACATTCAGTCTAGCTTCTAACACATCTCTGAGACCTTAAAAAGAGTATCTTTAATTTCTCCTGACAAGAATAATGTTGGCTGATGAATCATTAAAATATTTCATAATAGTGACATCCATGTATTGTCACTTAATTTTATCCTGTCATATTTCTAATATTTGAAACTTTAGATCACGTCGAATAATTTGTTTGTCCCTTTTTATGCTTATTAAATCAAGAAATATTCGCAAATATATATTTGTAAGTGATACATTTTGTAGCTTCATCGTCGTATATTCTAAGTTCAATGAGATTGAACACATGGTTTAAGATAGTTAATATATGATTATAATATATTGCCACATGTGGGAATGACTAACAGTGGGGTTCGGATTGGTAATTGGATTTATTAACAACCTACAGGTCATAACTGCAATTAATTATTTCACTGTCACTGATTTTCACATTACAAAGTACTCCACACTAATCTCTCTAGTCTATCTGCACGAGTTCTCACGGATTTCTAACAAAGGAACTACAAAATTCCCCCTAAATCACACACTCCCAATACCCATACACTACTCCACACTTAAAGTCTTCAAATCACAATTGAAGTTCTCACAGGCTGACCTATTGTACTCTTCTGTACCCCTAGTTCCAGTTCGCTCTGAATTTACAACTCACGGCTCTTGCTCTATAGTCGCGGAACAGGCATGAACTTATAGTAAACACATATCACGTGATCGCTATCTGGCCAGTGTATTGGCGCGACGATCGGATCTACAGAAAACACAGCTTCCTCTATTGTTCGTGTCGGACCGTGTTTGCAGAGATGTTGCCTGACAACGCGTTGATCAAATCCGTTACAATATTTTGTTGCATGCATATTTCATAAATGTACCGCAAATTCGGGTGCAGTCCTGAACATTTTCGGGTTGCGCCCTAAATGTTGCATCCCTGAAGACACACCAAATATTGCGTCTGTTATAGTCCTGTCGGCTTGTAGGATATGGTGCATAATGTTGGTCGCAATTTTAGTATGTACGATTTCTTTTCTGGACTTGTTACTTTAGAGTGGTCATGTATTTATCTGTGCTGATGAATATGTACTTGTGAAATGTACTCTGTAGGTGGTGATATTAAAAAGACAAATAGTTCATCTTGGTCATCAGAAACTCTGTAGCGTTAGTTCTTTAAGGCCTCCTTTTGTCAATACCAAGACATTCTTTGTTTCTCCATCGCCGTTTCAGTCCTTGTAAATCTCCTCTTCTTCTTGGTCGTACGAAATTCCAACTGTCTCTTTGCGTTCCGCACAAATTATCGTGGCATGTAGGCCCATTGCTAGGCAACGACAGCTAAATCAATTATACAACGGCCGTTGCTAAGTACTGCTTTAAAAACGACGGCCTTGCTAGGCTATGACTCAGTAGCGATCACGCGTTCATCCCCAACACAAACACAACAATTGTACTGCAGCAGAAACGATGTTTTCTACGCGGTCCATCCTGAGATGGTATAAATAGGACAAATTAGCGGTCTTGGACCTAAGATGGGGCTTGACACGGAAACAGACTGGCCGACTGACCGTCGGTCGTAACATAACTTTGACCGGTTGGTTGGTGAGTTAGTGAGTTAGTCTGACTGTTGCTATCGTTTAGTTGTTATGAGCTGTTGCTGTGAAACTTGGTAGCTGAGGCCGGGGACAGTTCAGGTACCCAGAAGAAGGGGAAAATCCACCGTTGAAAGCCGTTATCAAGCAACGGCCAGTGAAACGTATAACAGACTCAGAAGACATATTGTGTCCTATAGTGATTTGTTAAACGTGGTGACGAGTTGTATAAGTGTGTAATAAATCTGGTCATCGATCCAAAGCTCGTCTGTAGTCACTAAAATCGTGATATTATTTTTATAGAAACATTCATTACCACGTTACCGCTCCACTCCTAGTTCTCACATATGGAATAAACCAACCAAATCTTGAAATGCATCTTATTTCTTTGTATAACACTCCAAATTTTTTACAACATTATGTGGATGCTCTGCAGTTAGTTCTGGCTGTTCTTCACAGTTGAGGGGTTTTGAAATTTGTTCCAGAATTACTGGGTTTTTGGACATTGTATATCGTCCGGTATTCTAAAAGCTAGGGAACATAACGTTCCGAAAACTTGACCTGTTTCCGTCTTCAGGCGAGGAGGGAGAAAACCTACTCTGTTGGGCTAACCTCAGTCGTCCAGTCATTGAGGTTAGCTTTTCATAAAGGACCCAACGGAGTAGGTGTTCCTCCTCACCTGAAGACGGAAACAGATCAAGTTCCCGTAACAGCTTTTTAGAATGCCGGACGATGCACCAAGTAATTCTTACACCACCATCAAAACACTTCCGAATCTGCTTAAAATTTCGTACAAAAAATAACGCGTATCTCGAAGTTAGGCAAGTTTGCCGTATTGCGACAAGAAGTTTCTGGAACAACTATTCGAAATGTCGGTTGAATTGCTGCTGGTCATCGCCAGCACAGTCATTCTTTGTTATGGGTCCCGTTGAGGTCCATGACCGTATGTTTGTTCATTCTAACACTTTTTCGTGTTTCTAACTGTGGCCTCCTCTTCGTCGAGAGGAGGGGCCTCACTGTTATTGACAAGAACTAATGGCCTGCCATTTTTTTCACGGCACATACCACACAGAAAACGCCCCGACCAGCAATGCAGCTATTTCCGTGTGTGCATTCACTGCCGCGGGAATATGTTTACCGTGACGTTACCGAGCAACACCGGGAGGATACCGTACAGACACACAGAGAACAAAGTGTTACCATAAGCCTAATTTTATTTTTTTTCAGAACAAGGAAAATAGGCTGAAATGAGTGAATTGTAGGCTTGAAACAAAGCATTGAAATGCATGGCTCTCTCAGACGCACACATGACGAGCTGTGAAAAAAAGGCATATTTCTGAAACACCTTGTATATTCGACACACTCTTTTGTAGTTGCACTGACGTGAGGGTGTTTTAATTGCATTTATACGCTTGTTTTAATCTCCAATACATAGATTTTTAATCAACTTAATTGCCAAACAGGGAATGTTAAAATTGAACATTTTTCATAGGCGACGTTGTGTATAGTTGATATTAGTAACACTCCGCTGCGAAGTTGATGGCAATACCAAACATTGATTGAGACTATTTTGTATTTGATATCAGAAAGCGGCCATGAACTGCATGATATCCCAGAATTTATTGACCACTAGTATGGAGCCCATTTATAATTCAGCGAGAAACTGATCAAAATAATCATCGTCAAATGTACCGAACATCGTCAACACGGATATGCCTGGAAAGGCAGCTACATGTACGTGAACTAAGACGGAGAATATCAGAGTGGCGGTTTAACTCCAATCAGTTTTTCTTGGCGCCAAGCCCCTTGAGGCTCACGAGCAGCATTTTCTTCAACTGAGCACCTGCTTTCATAGTCTTTATGTAACATCCACTCTGACGAGAACATGGGTCTGTCGTTTAAAACTGCTGCTGGTGCTCGCCAGTGCAGTCAGTCTCGGGTCCGAGTTTCGCGGGACTCATGACCACATTTTACTGACCGAGATTCGACACTCCCCCAACTTGGAGGTCCATGTCCCCGTATTTATCTCCCCCAGGAACTGGGTGGCCCAGTTATACCCTCAGACACTGGGTTCTCTTTTCGTTGTTTCCTACGACTCGCAGGGCTACGGTGGAGGTATTGAAAGCGCTTCACACGGGATTGTACTAAGACACTGCCGAAATTCTCGGATAACAATACGCATTAAAGGGTGTTTTCGGTGTGTAATGTCGCCTCAAACATATTGTCCACTGTTGTCATTTTTTGCTTCTGTCTGTAACTACAAATATATATATATATNGTCGCGCAACATGTGACAATATATATATATGCATAACGACAGAATAAGGACACAAGAAGTAAATTTAATCTTTTGTATATTAACATTACGCCAGGCGGTGTCAGTCTATTTTCACGACGCGTATTACGTCAGCGACCAACATTATCCCCATGAGGTGTCGAGAATTTGCTTTATGTTACGCAACAGAGGATATTCTGTGACAAGCATATTCGTATATCACAAGCTTACGCTCAAACTGACGCTGCGTTTCTAATTACTCAGTGCATAGGTTATTTAATGACACTTTCACAACTACATGTCTCAGGTCCGTATCATTACTTGGGAGGTTGCTTATGATATATGGATTATTTGTTAAAAGATTTGGAATGTGATACCGACTGGTTTTGTGCACTTAGTCTAAACATGTCGAAAGCGTGGCACAGGCAGACCTACTATTCGTAGCATGGTCATATGCCCCTGGGATATTGGGATCATGGTTTCGAATCTCACAGGGTGTATGCATGATTCTTTTGCGATGCACAGTCCTCTATATTGGCTTAT